CGGGGATCCCAGCCGTCGCGCCCGATTCGGGTGCTTGAGCTTTTAAAAACTCGACGTGTTCTTCTTACCAGGGCCGATCAAAGAATGAGCCGAGCCCTGGCATCCAGAACGCAAGCCCCTGGAACCTGTGACTGTCGTTGCGTAGCTGCCACAGGTGGAGCAAACGAGGAGGGGCGGGTGATCCTCTCCCTCCTCCGAAGACTCCACAGGAAACTCCAACAGGCAGTGGCCCCCCGCCTTCCACGGCTGCGTGCCTTCGGACGCCCTATCCAGGAATCTCTCCAGCGAGGCGGCAGCCGCAGGGTCAGGGACCGTCGGGGCCTCCACACGAGTGGGGGGCGCAGCTGCCTCATCCTCGGCCCGAGCCCACTCGAGCCGAGCGTCGTGGTCCGAGGGGGGGTCCAGGGAAACCAAAGACAGGCCCTGGGCACCTACATTGTCGTGGACCCCCAGCTCACTGTAGTAAACTTCCGCATGCGTTATAAACTGCAACACCTCACGGGCCAGGCGCAGGCAACCCTTGGCCAGGAGGGTGCCACATTCATCGTGCTGGACAAGCGAGGCCCCCAGCTTGGCCAGCCTATCAGCACCACGGTTACCAGCGCGCTCGAAATCTGACAAGAGGCCGTCTCTGACATCCTTGGCCGAGGCGTGAGCAGGGACCTTCTTAAACCTGGCCCCCTCAAGGCCTCCCGAAGCCCAAGACTGAATCCAGAGGTGGGCCCTGGGCTTGGCCGAGGAGACCGAGCGCGCTTTATTTTTACAGCAGTCTAGCGTTCCCTTGAGAGTACAGAGTGAAATCGCCTGCGCACAGCTTCGAGACGATAAAAAAAACACTATAGTCCTCGCCGTCACGCGCCACCTGATCAGGCAAGGTGGCTGGGGGCACAGAACCATACCACTCCGCTATGCACCTGCGTGACTCATCGAAGACGGTGACCCCCCATCCTGCAACGCGCATGGACGGGAACAGTCCATCTAGGCCTGAACCATCACAGAGAACATGCCCCTCGGAAAGCATAAGCGGCCCAGCAAGGCCTCCGTCAACGCGAAACTCCGTGGAAGGATCCCAGGGTTTCCTGGCCAGAAGCTGGCACGGGTCAGGAAGGATTCCTCTGGAAAAACGCTCTTGCAGCTCGATACTGCAAGTCGAAACTCTGCTGGCTGCGCGCTGCACACACACGGGAAGATTGTCGCGGCGCCAGGCCGACCTCGCCTGGCACTGAAAGTGGCGATGGAACAACTTGCCTCGCTCACCACACACCAGGCATTCTGGCGCCAGCTCAGGATCATGCTCGCTGAGCCTGTACTGGCACCAATGAGAACCCATGAGGAGTCCTCGGAGCGTACGCTGCTCTCTGACCCCCCACGGACCACCCGTCCCAACAGCCTCGCCCTCCCCGTCGATCCTTCTATGCAGCAGCTCGTTCAGCGGTCGCCAAAAAAGTTCTGCGCGCCAGGCCTTGCCTGGTCCGATTTTGCCCAAGGCCGCTAGGTCCGAAGATCTTCGCGCCGAAAAACGCGCACGCCTGGCCATGAAAGCGGCCGAGACCTGAGTCAGGTCCCAAACCTGCCCCTGGGCCTCCTGCACCGAAAAAGGTCCCTGGAAGACAAACCCGATCCTCAGGCAGGTTAAGACCAGGGCGGACACAGGGTCCTTGACCAGTGTCCAAGGTTTCGGCCTGTGGGCGACCTCCTGGGCCTTCGCAAACACAACTGAAAGCGCGCGCTCAGACAGCCTGCCATCCTTTAGAATCTGAACATACGTCTTGATCGCGTCTGCTGAGACCTGCACCAAGGGATCCCGCGGCCAACCCCCACGCGTGCACATCGAAGCCAATCCGAGCGAGCATCCCTTGGGCAGCCTCCCCTCGGCTTTGACAGCCGCAACGCTTAAACTCTTCAGTTTTCCATCAGGCAGCCCCTGGATGTTGGCCCCCCAGAGAGCCTTGGCGGTGACCCCCGCCCGAAAGATTCCACCCGTCGGGGCTCCAGCCTCGCGGAGGCTGAGGACCTTGGCCACCTTGGCCTGGGCCTCCAGGAAACGGGCCTGGTGGGTCGACACTCGCCGCCTTGCACCATCCGTCGCGCCCCCTCCAAGGTCGCGGTGGACAGACGACCTGGCCTCTTCAGGGAGCTGGCAGCACGAGGCCAGCTGGTTGGCCAGGGAGGCTGACGACGCCAAGAGCCCAAGCTTGTTCCAGGCAATTGGGAGGCCCCTAGCCTGGAGGTCCTGGGTGACAAGATTGAACGCCGACGAAAGCTCAGTGCACACCGTGGCCTGGCCTCCGATGGACTGGAAAGAAATATCATCTATGACACTTTTCAGGAAAACAGTAGGGCACGACGATACCACTCTGCGCAGCACCGGCACGAGCAACAGGCGAGCAAGCGAGGTGGCCCCCGAACAGCCAGCAATCACAGTGCCATTCGGCGAGGCGATTCTGGAAATCGCCCCTTGCCAAGACACCCGCCTCGGGGAACGGTAAACCGTGCAATAGGCCCCCAAGAGGGCCTTCGGAAAGGCCACCTGCTCAGCTGCCGCAAGTAATTCAGCATGGCTGATATGCTCGTAGAATTTGCGAAGGTCCAGAAACAAAGTACCCGAAACTAAACCCCGAGTTTCCCGAGCAAATGCAGCCATAGCATTGTGAACCCATGCGCTCTTGTCGCATGCAGTGGACGTGCTCAAACCCCAGAAAAAGGGCGCGTCCAGCTCCCTTTCCCGCGCCGCGCATCTGGCATGCCGAATCCTGCTCCACACTCGGGCCCAGAGGGGAAGGAGGCCGATAGGCCTTACCCCCCCTGACGGTTTCGCAAGAAACACAACCGCGACGAGCCGCAACGGGCCCACAGAGGGGCCCCGTTCCCAGGCCGTGAGGATATCGGCGAAGGCCTGGACGAGCGCGGGGGAGACCTGAAGAAGGAGCTGGGGGCGAAAGGAATCCCACCCCAGGCCCGTGCCTGGGGGAAACGACTTGGCAGCCGCAAGGACCTGCTCCGAGGTGATCGGCGGCAAGCTATCTTCACACCTCCAGTCCCAAGGTGGGGGCTCGCCAGCTCGATTATCTTTGCACCAAATCGGCAACCACTCTTGTAAAGTCTGCTGCAGTGCGGCATCGCCTACTAGGGGAACAGTCACCCCTTCATCAACTTCAGCCAAGACGGGCTGGGGAGGCGCCGAGGGGCCCCTTCGAGTACCTGTGAGCGACCCGCCCCCCTCCGACGACGGACGACTGCGCCCGCGACTTCCATTTCTGGCGCCCCACAGCCGCCTCCTGAGACACACGCTTCGAAACTTCGGCCTGCAGCCAATTCACAACCACCGTTTTTTGATCACAGACAAGCAGGCTTCTAAAAAGAGATGCAAACGTGAAACCTCTGAGCTCCTCTACCTGAGCACTTTGCAGCAAGTGGCCAAAGGCGCAAGCCTTGGCCAGCGACAGGTCACGGTCCTTGACCCGACGCATGTAGAGCATCGCCAGCCTCCTGACCGCAAGCCAGTTCTGCGTGAGGACCGAGCAGCGCTGGTTGAGATCCTGACCCCAGGCCGCCTGCAGAGGGACCTTCTGAATCTGGCAGCCAGACGACCTGCCTGCGTACCCCCTGGCTTGTCCCAGCTCATGAAGCTTGACCAGCTCTGCCTCCGCCGCATCGAACCACTGGGCAGCGGCCTCCATGGGCCTGGCCTCCCTCAGGCGTGACGAACCTCAGCATCTCCTCGTCCGTCCGTGCCAAGGGGAAAGCCTTCGGGACGATCCGCTTCCACACCTTCGCTGCCCCAGCAAGACCTTTCAGGCGGAGGTGCACCGACGAGTGCGGCCCCGTGGGCGTGTCTGGCCACTCATGTACTTCATCAATGTGGTAGTCCAAGCACCTGCTGACCACAAAGAAGTCGTAACATTTGTCGTGGCAAGCTGGCCCAGGCGGCCGAACTATTGTCACCCCCAGGTGTTCGCACCACCTGGACTCTCGCAACGCTTCCGCATCAACGTTCCAGTCTCCAGCTATGAGCACAGGTAGGGGTAACGACGAGGCAAGTTCACTAAGCTGCGCCAGAAACGTGATATTCTCTCCCGTGGGGCCGATCTGCGTGTGGCCGTAGACCGGGATCACCATCAGCTGCGCCCGCTCAGACAGAACCAGCCCTCTTGCACACATCCTTTCCGACGTGCACGCGCGCACCGCATCAGTCGCTCCAAACCTGGCCGAAGTCAACACAGCAACTCCCCCTGACGTCGCGTTGCCAGCCGCTCCTGTTGAGGCAGCACACGAAAAGGTCGACGTGAAACCAGCCTTGTACGCCCATGATCGTGGCCCCTCCTGCTGGGCCTGGGTCAGCCTCGTCTCCTGGAAGAGCCCGATGTCGAACGTGGTAGCCCGAGGTCCCTCTTTGGCCCACTCCAGGAGCTAGCGAGCCGTTGCCCAGGCATTACTATTGTAGGTGACTACTTTGAGAACCGAGTTTTCCTCTTGCTGAGCAGTCGCGTTCTCCAGTTTCGAGGCTTTTCCCCGATGGTCGGTACTGCCCTCCTTAGTGGCCGACGGCCGAGGAGAACAATGCGTGCCATCGGGGCCAGCTGCATGGCGACGAATATGCCCACTAGGGGCGCCTCTGGGTCGAACGTGTGGCTGGTCCCCTCCTGGGCACAGCGGCGCGGCGGCGGCAGGTCCCCAGGATGCTGGAGCCTCTGCGGCGGCGGCGCTCAGGCTGACCGAAGGAGGGGCCCGTGCCGATCTATGTCCCTCATGTGGCTGGGCCCCCTCTGGCACCAGCGGCGCGGCGGCGGCTGGTCCCCAAGGGGCTGGAGCCTCCGCGGCGGCGGCGTCACTGCTGGCACCTGAGGGGGCCTGTGCCCCAGCCGAAGACGAACCTCTCGTGGCCCATGTTCCAGTGGGAGATGCCGATGCCATAGAACGCGTGGGCTCGGGGGTGCGACGGACGGGGGCTGAATCCCCTTCCCCCGAGCCCGAGGCGACTGGCGCCCCCCCGCCATCACGTGGCAGGCTCAACAGATCCCCCATCTCGTTCTTGATTCTGCGCAGCTCCTCCCAGTGCCGACGGAGAGCCCAGCGCAGCATATCTCTGTCATTAGATTCACACCAATCAAAGAAGCCGAGAATGTTGACATGATTCTCAGCTCCATCTTCCCAGGCCTCTGCGCAGATGTCCTCCGCCATCTGATCCAAAGACCTGCCCTGGCGAGCCTCCTGCACCCAGTGGTCATGCTGGACCTGCATGAGCAGCTCCCTGACGTAGGGCTTACACCACTGCATCCAGCAGTCGGCTCCCGACTCTGACGAGTGCAGGCGAGGAATCCACCTGGCCGCCGACATCGTGACTCCGTCGTAGAAAGCCGCCTCTGGCCCATCTGGGTCAATGGGCTCGGGAAGCGGCAGCCCCATCGTGCCTGGGCCTGACCCAGGCGGGCCGCCTCGCGCCGCTGGGCCCAGCTGATCAGCAGCGACGCCTTTATTCAGGGAGCTGGCCCCATCAAGCCGGCTTCGTGGCCTGAGGGGGCGGCGGGCGACAGATTCTGGCTGCGCGCTGCTTGAGCCCGTCTCCAGCACCCGCTCCTGCAGCTGGCGTCCCAGCGGGCGCAGGCTGGGGGGGCCTCCGCGGAGGCAGCTGCCCCAGCGCCTTCGGAGGGCGGCCCAGCAGCTGCCGCAGGCGCCGCCTCAGGGCCAAGAGCCGCGGCCTCGGGGTCCTGCCGCCTGCGCTTGCCCGCCAGACGGGCCGCCATCTGCTCCTGCTCCACCTTGAAGGCCTTGGCCTTCTCCGCCGCCTGGCCGAACATAGCCTTGACCGCCGCCGCCAACTCGGTCTGCAGGCGAGCGGTGCGGTCCTCCAACTCACGCTTGTCCGCTTCCTCCATATCATATTCCGCATCGTCGAAACCCTGGCCTGCAAAGGACAGCGGAATCGTCTCAATCGTGCCGTCCAAGATGCCAGCCACACTGAGCGCCTGAGCAGGGGCTTGCTGCGGCGGCACGTACGTCTCCTTGAGCTCCACCACAAGGCGGCAGTGCTCCTTCTCGCGCTCCTCGAGTTCGTCCGTGAGCTGCTGCACCCATTTGCGCTGCTGCTCGAACCCCTCCTGCAGCCGCTCGAAGTGAGCCACCGCCTTCTCCAGCTTCTGACTGACCTCCGCCGCCTGCTTGTGGGCCATGGTGACCCTCTGGGACAGCGGGGCCACGTACGCCTTCTCGGCCGCCTTGCGGCGCCTCTCAGTGAGGGTACACTTGTGCTTCGCCGCGCTGGCCACGTCGCCCACGCGCTCCAGCATCGCCACCATCCTCTCCAGGTCGCCGATGTCCACCTCGGCGCCCTCAGGCTGGGCCACCATGAACTGGGCACCTGGGGCAAGGGGCAGGGCCTGTCCGCCGTCAGCAGCGTCTGGGCCCTTGCCACCCTTGCCCTTGCGCCCCTTGCCCTTTGTGTCCCCTTTGCCTCCGTCTCCTTGCCGTGCGAAATCAGCCCAGACTCCTCCAGGCTCAGATGTTGTGGCAGGAGCAACGTCGGACAACTTGTGGCCACAGGCTCTGCAGTACACACTTCCTCGAACATTTTTCTTGCACCCGCACTTTGCACAAGCAGGTGCTTTACCGACCTCCTTCCAACCTTCGTCGTCACCTGGGCCCATGTCTCGCCACTCCCTCCATTGCCCCACCCAGGGCGGGGGAGCAGACTTCCTCCACGGAGGCCTGACAGCAGCGGCCGCGGAAGGAGCCATGGGGCGAGAAGCAGGAGGCAGATCCTGCGGGGACTCGGAAGGGACGTCGTAGTAAGTAGAGTGCTCCCCCAGGAGCTCACAAAGTTTTCTGAACCAGCGAAAAGCTGGTGCAGGATCACGGGCGGGGGCGCGCCTCCCCCACGCCAGCAGACTCCTGTCCTGAGCGAAACGCTGCGGACTTGAGCCAAAATGGCTACGCAAGAGGAGGAGGAGGAGGAGGAGGAGGAGGAGGAGGAGGAGGAGGAGAGGGAGGAGGAGGAGGAAGAGGAGGATGAGTATGGACCCGGGACCCGAGAGGCACCGAGAGAGGCAGCCGAGAGGCCCCAGGGAGAGAGGCTCTCCGGGGACAGCGCAGCCGAGGTCTCGTCGCGGGGGCTCGGGTCCTCGACCCCGGGCTCGCGGGCGGCATGGGCCGAAGGCCACCGGACTCAACTCCTCCTCCTCCTCCTCCCTCCTCCTCCCTCCTCCTCCCTCCTCCCTCCCTCCTCCTCCCTCCTCCTCCCTCCTCCTCCCTCTTCAAGATGCAGACGTCTGATCACGCGCTGCCACTTCCGACACGGTTGCCGAGTCTCTCAAGAGGCGCCGACAATGAAGGGGCCCTGGGACACACAACTACATGCACATGAATAAAAAGATTCGCCATATTTTCATTTTTTTTCCCAGGTTCTTGTCTTCCCCCCACTTCCCACATTTTCCTTCATTTTTTCTGGGGGATCGACGATTCACTGTGTCTGTGTTTTTTTTTCCCCTCCTGACGACAGAGGCACCCAGGAGGCCCCAGGGAGAGAGGCTCCTCGGGGGACAGCGCGGCCGAGGCCCCCAGCGAGAGAGGCCTCGGGCCTCTCCTCGACCTGGGCTCGCGGGGGAAGGCTGGGCCGAAGGCCACTGGACTCAGATCAGAGGCCTCCCAGGTGGGGTCCGAATAGTTCGAAGGCAACTACTGGGAGGCTTTCGTCGGAAGGAGCAAGGAGGATTACACTCCATTGGGGGGGGGGGCGTTACGCAAGAGTGGGCCTCGGATTAAGCCAGATTAAGCGGGATTAAGCGGGATTCAGACGGATCAAGCGGGATTAAGCTGGATTAAGCCGGATTTCGGACCAGGGCGGAAACAGAATTTGACCTCCCAGGAGTTGCATCCGAAGAATAGATGGGGTCGGAGGACAGCGCCGCATCGCCAATGCATCGCCGATGTATCGGCGATGCATCGGCGATGCGTCGGCGACGTCGGCGTGGGGAAGCACGGGCTCCCCGCATCGAACCGCATCGCCGATGCATCGGCGATGCGGCGCGGTTCTCCGAGCCCGTCTACTCGGACCCCATCTGGGAGGCCTGGACACATGCAGACGTCTGGTCATGTGTTGCCACTCCCGAAACGGTTGCCCAGCTTCTGCACCTGCACGGCGACGAACAATCCAGCCGGCAAGGCCATGGGCCGCGAGAGGTCCAGCACGTCCATCATGACCCAGGTGACCAGCACGGCGAGCGCAATCAGCAAGAGGAGGGCGGGGACCCGGTCTAAATTGATGCTGTATTGGCCCAAGTGCACCTTCCGCTCCTCCTTCCCAGGTGGGGTCTCCCCCTGCCGCGCCTTCGCCGCCTTGCCCTTGCTGGCGCGATGATGGACCTCCGCGGCACCCCCGCTCGCCAACTTACCTAACATTAGCCCTGATCCCCAACGATAGGACACTTGAGCCAAAACGGCTACGGAAAGATGATCCGGAGGGAGGATGGTAGCGACGACTGCAGAGAGGATTCCGGTCGTCGATTGCAGATGGGAGTGCGGAGTGGCGAGGAGGAAGGGTAGGCGCAGTAGGGAGCTGGGGGATCGCAGTGGGAAGGAGGGAGGCCCGCGGCAGTGAGGGAGGTGGACCAGGATACGCAGCAGAAGAGCAGGTAGTACGAGGATACCACTGTTGTTACTCCAGCGCTCCAGGCGCGCTTGGGGCTCCAAACGACCTTCACTATCTATGTTCCTCAAACAGTGCTTGCGCTCAGGAGTCCCTACTTCTGGTCAGATGAATTGAGCTGGTGTGTCGGTCTGGCGTCGCCGCCTATCGTATGGGCCCCTGTGTTGCTCTGGCAGCTATGTAGTCGCCGTCATTGCCACGTCGCCTGGGCCGGTGTGGCGGTCTGGCGGCTATGTAGTCATCGTCGCCAGCCCGTCGCCGCTGTAGGATTGCACCACGTAGATTCTCCTTCTTCAATAAAGATAGACTCCCGTTGACGGGATGCAAATGGGGGGATAAATCCAGGGGGGGAGAGAGGCGCAACCGAGGTACAAATTGTACCTACGCCTCACGGAGAAGGTACAATTTGTACCGACGCCACGCAGACAAGGTACAAATTGTACTTTTGACAACGTCCGCGACATGTGCGAGGATGTTAACGGGGGGGAGAAGGTACAATTTGCAATTTCAACCCGCAGAGAAAGTACAAATTGTACCCCAACAAAACGGTACCGGATACTCATCCCCCAATGTCCTGATCCCCCCATCGCCATCCGGTCGATCCCACTCCCCCGGAATGAACGGGACGCCTTTTCGTATTGCGATTTACATGTGATTCTGCCCCACCGTCCATCTTAAATTTGAATCCATACTATCCCAGCCAAACCGGTATCACTCCCCCCCGCCATCCTCTGCAACAAATACTATGCGCGCACTCTCGTTGATATCACAAATGATAAGTATTCAAGAATCCCTTGCAAAACATGGGACGAAGTGCGCACGCGCGCGTCGTCGCGCGCGCATGCCGAAATCCATCAAAAAACCTTTGGTTTCGGACGGATTTCAAAATCGAGTTTCCAAAACACATAAACACAGGGTTTCGCAACACTGATTTTCTAGATAAGCTTACGCGCGCGCTCTGGCGAAATATTAAGAAAAACAATGGGATTTTCAAGACTTTCCAAACATGTTACCAAACGGGCTTCGCGCGCGCATGTCGCAATCTTTCGAACGCCCTTGCGTGCGTGCCGCCATGGTAATCCCCTGCAAACAATGAAACGAAGTGCAGACGCGCAGGTCGTCGCTCGCGCATGCCGACATCCTCCAAAAACCTTTGGTTTCGGAGGGAATTCAAAATCGTGTCCAAAAGACATACAAAAACACAAGGGCTTGCAGCACGGATTTCAAACAAAAACGTGCGCGCGCGCTCTTGCGTCGTCATCGTCGTCGTCGTCGTCGCCGTCCTCCCTCCTCCCTCGTCGTCGTCGTCGCCGTCGTCGTTCTCTGTCTTTCCTAGTCGTCGTCGTCGTCTTGGCGTCGTCGTCGTTTCCGTCGTCGTTGTCGCCGTGGTCGTCCTTCCTCTTCCCTCGACGTCGTCGCCCATCGTCGGCGTCTCGTCGTCGTCCCTCCTATTTCGTCGCCGTCGTCGTCGTCGTCTTCCCTACTCCCTCGTCGTTGTCGTCGTCGGCGTCGCCGTCCTCCCTCCTTCTTCGTCGTTCGCGTCGTCGTCATCCTCCCTCCTCCCTCGTCGTTGTCGTCGTTGTCGCCGTCGTCGTCCTCCCTCCTCCCTCGTCGTCGTCGGCGTCATCTTCGTCGTCGGCGTCGTCGTCGTCGTCGGCATCGTCGTCGTCGTCGTCGTCGGTGGCGTTGTCATCGTCGTCGTCGTCGGCGTCGTCGTCGTCGTCGGTGCCGTCGTCGAAGTCGTTGGAGACGTCGTCGGTGTCGTCGTGGTCGGTGTCGGCGGCGTCGTCGTCGTCGTTGTCGCTGTCGTCGTCGGCGTCGGTGTCGTTGCTAAGTGCAATTTGGTACCTACCGTCACGGTCTTAAGAGGTTTTGCGACCAAGCTGCGGGTGGGAGGGTGGGATGTTTGCACGAGCAGTGGAGAAGACAGCTTCAAGACAGTCCAAGTGAATTGCACAACGTAGATTGTGCCACATCGATTGAACAACATATACTGCAGCACGTTGGTTGCAAAGCATAGATTGCATATCATGAAGCATACACCATGTGTTGCACAACGTCGATTGTATATCATATTTTGCACCATGTCGGTTCTCCTATTTAAGCGAACGATGAGATTGTCCCCCTCTCCCACTGAATTGACAGCTCCCTGTTCGTATTGCAATTCACAAATGATTCCGCCCCATCGTCAATCCTAAATCTGAATTCGTGCCATCCCAGGCGTGCCGGTATTGCCCCCCCCCTCCTCCTTTGTTAAAAAACTACTTTCTGCGCGCACTCGTATATCACAAATCATCAGTTTTCGAGAACCCCGTATACACAATGGGGCGAAATGCACACGCGCACGGCAAACACCATCGGTTTTTCAACGCTTTTATAACAAGCTGTCAAGCGGGCCTCTCGCGCGTGCGTGTCGAAATCCCTCGAGCGCCCCTTCCGCGCTGGCTGTCGCGCGAATCGCTTGCAACAAAGACGACGAAAAGCACACGCGCGCGTCGTCGCGCGCGGACGCCGAACTCGTTCAAAAACCGTGGATCGAGTGTTCCGAGAGCATGCAAACACACATGGTCTTGCATCGCTTTTTCGGGCTGCTCAAAAAAAAAAAAACAGTGCTCGCGCGTTTGTGGATTCCTACGGGAATTATCGGTTCATTTCAACATGTAAAAAATATTTTCCCACGCGGGCCTCTCGCGCCGCATGTCAAAATCAATCGGGCGCCCTTGCGCGCGTGCTGGGGGGGGGCACGATCCGTTACGCAAAGCCATGCGTGCCACTCTCGCGCGTCGGCCGCGCGCGAGTGTCGAAATCATTCCCCAACCTTCATCACCAACGCGGGAATGTCATCGTCGTCGGCGTGATCAGCATCGGCGCCGTCACTGGCCCTGCCGTCGTCGATGTCACCATCGTCACCAGCATCGCTACTATCATCCTCGTGTCTACCGTTGTCGACATTGCCATGATACCGCGCCCGCCCAGCTCGCCGACTCGCACAAAAATGCCCGC